CTGGCCAGTGAATCCCTATTTTTGGTCTTTTCATTTTCATTTTTTTCTTTCTTTTTTTCCCGCACACACATCACACCACATACTCCGGCATGCACTGGTTGTTGGGAACCACCCAGGAGAATGAAAGAAAAGTCAGGAAGAGTTTGAGAAAGAGAAGAAAGACGTGTGTGAACAAAATCGTCGGGAATCGAACCCGCAACCTATCGATTGGAAATCGCTGCACATACCACTGCACCATATGGGACACACACACACACACACACACACACACACACACACACACACACACACACACGCACGCACATACACACACACACACACACACACACACACACCACACCACACCACACATACGAGTACACACCTGGCTGTGTTTTTTCATTTCCTATCTGCCAAACGCTGACATAAACATCCAGCTATCCGTATGTTGGTTCATCCAATTTCTGCTAGGTTCCCGTTCCATTGCTAGCATATTCAGATTTATTCCTCAAAACATTACAGTAGAGCAATGATTAGTACTCTCTTGTGCCATCATCCTTCAATGCGACGGACCCCACTATAGGCGGTCAGCCTTTGGGTCATCCTAATAAAGTTGTTATAATTATCCGGACATTGACTATCCAGACGATCGTCGGATTATCCTGAACGGCTGGGACACTGCATACATGCCCATCAGTGCATGGCAGAACTACTATAGTATTGTCAGGCGCCGAAGAACAAACAGGCTAGAATCTCATCAAGCACGGCAGACCAATGTATACACGGTGACTGGGACTGTGTATTGACTGTGGTACATGAAAATTAGAGCAGCCCAGGCGCGTGCGCCGGTGCCCTTCAAGGGGGGTTCCGGGTTCCGGGGGCCTCCCCGGGAACATTTTCAAAAATGAAGCAAAATCCTGCATTCTGAGCGAAAAGGGGGGGGGGGGTTCCGGGCACCCAGGAACCCATACGGGGCACGCGCCTGCAGCCTAGGCCGCGAGGATGCTAACCCCACCCCAGTTCTTCGCCACCCGGCAGTGCTATAGTACATGATCTCGTATGTGTTTTAGATGATGTGACCGTGTACTACAAGCATGTATGAGCCATTTTCACCAAGCCGACTTTCTCATTATCCGAACACCTTTCCCTTGTCCGACCGCCTTCTGAACGGCGTCTGCCTCGGAGGGTTCGGCTAATCGATGCTCTAATGTGCTTGGCAAAACAACAACAACTACTACAGTCATGAACTGTGACATTACGGCCTCTGGATCAAGAAGTGAAGAACTTACTTGGATAATACATTTACATGGTCATGATTGTACAGTCAGCAGCGGTGATCTGGGGGGGGGGGGGGCATTTTCATGTAATGCCACTTTAGGTACATCTCTAAGACGAAGACTAAGACTAGTAAGAGGGCCTGGGATCATGTCATGTTTGTTTCTGGATTGCAAGTACCAGCGCAAATCCGGTCGTCATTCCCCATGACAAAGGATTAGTATGATCCGGGTTTTGATGATGAGGACTGTCTGTGCATGTGTTCACATGTCCATAGTTTCAACAAAAAAACTTGACATGTTCTTGTTCAATACTGAATATTGTCTTGAAGCCGGCTGGTGCGGGGCCACGACAGCTATAGCGACTTTTACTACTCCACATCATGCATGCAAACATGCACACAACCAATCCCACGCACACACACACGAACACACGAACACACACACGCGCAGACTTAAAATCGCGCGTGCACGGAAACCATGACATACCTGGCACCGTTCACCTTCCACTCCGCGTCGATCTCTGCCGCATCCGCTGCAGCGCACTGCTTCCAATCTGACTCCTTCCTTTCCCGCTCAGCCAGAAATCTTGCTACGAATCTCGATTTTTCCGACTCAAAGCTGTGATATGTATCTCAACGATCAAGTGAAACAGCACTAGGGATGAAGGTTACGAACAGGAAAGATTTCCTCTCAATATTTCAAAGTCACACGATAGCCTCTTGTATAACTGGACAAGCATACCTTGCAATCTCGTCCACGCATTCGTCCGGCGCACAGCACTGAACAATACTACAGCAGGCTGAGATACTAGCAGTCGTACTGCAATCGAGCGAGGGAAAAGAGCACAACGAAACCGCTGTTTGCCGATCGGCCGTGTCTCGCTGCGTTCCGTGAGGTTACGGAGGATGACGGCAGGCCACGCTGATATGAAGTCCACACAGTCTGATTACAAACCCACACACGAAGAACCACGAGCGCACAAGCCCATCTCTCCTTTTGCTGACACCTTACTCTGGAGGCAAGTGGAGGGTGCATGCACTGCACTGTGCGAACGGGACGTGACCAGGTGACGTGTGGGCTGCTAGCCGCAAAGCGCACGATGTCTTTTCGTGAAGCGCTGACTGATCAACGCTCCTGATCCATGTCCATGATCCGGCGCTGTATGTACTGACTGTGTGGTAGATCTGCACCAACCCTACTCCCTACCGACCCTAGCCTAGGCCTAGCACCAAGCAGGTACTTGGCCTTCACGACAGCAAGCAGTAGAAAACATGAAGAAGGAGGATAGGAGGGACAGATTTCTACACACTAGATATTTGAAGAACCACTAGATTGGCCCTGACACCGTGTAACACTGTGGCGGTCTTCTGTGTCTTTTGCCCCGATGGACAAAAACCTAGCGAGGCATTATTGACAATATCTGCAGCGTTCGCCGATGCTGGAAAACTGCAACACATCGTGGGTGCACGGCGAGAGGTGTAAGTCAAGTGGACGTCTACTGCAGCATCCCGCTGGCTGGCACGCGAGCACGGTGGGACTGCCAGAGCTCTTCAGTTCAGCAGAGATTTCGGCTAGTTCAGTCAGTGTGGTTCAACGACGCGCACGGGGAAAAATTCAAGCTGGATGCAGTGCACTGCACTGGTGAGTTCAGTGCAGCCTGACCAGCCACGACAACAATTTTCTCCGTATAAACAAGTTAGTTATGCTCTCCGTCCTGCCGTCTCTGCACTTTCTACCAAAGGCAGCCCAACATGGACGAGCAAGTCGCACCGCGGAAGCAGAACCTGCGGAAGACTCGGCGGCTCTCCGTTTCTGGCAGGCATACAGGAGAGCAGCAATCGAGCAAACACACTGTGTGTATTCCACTCTCTAATCGATACGGATGCCGTCCAGTGAACGAGCCCACCGGTCAAGAATTGCCTCTCGTGACTTGGCCCTGTCTGTAACAGGGGCTCTTCAACGACCGCATGCTCTTCCTCGCAAATGGGAAGCCAACAACAGAGACCTGACAGAGAGAAATGACTGGCTGCTATGCACGTGTCTGCATTACCATGATTACGCCCTACGCCACGGTTAGGAATAGGGGTTGCCCTGCGTCGTAGAGTGACAGAAAATCTCCCTGCGATCGTGAGAGCAATGGTTACGGAGACAACTCGTTGACCCACACTACTACTAGTACTGAGTAGTAGTACCAGGCATCATGTTCACAGAACGAGAGGAGCGGCTGAATCAGTGCATGCATTGCTTGGCCAATGTGAGACCGTAAAGCTATCAACACGCAATTGGCTGAGGAAACACTTGGCGAGCCAAGCCCCCCACGCGCACGGGGGAGTCGTTCACTAGAAATCATTGCGACGAAACCAATGATATCGACTCACTGCAATTGACACCACTGGCACATATTCATTTGCTTTGCACTGCATATCATGTCTGTCAACCCGTGCGCTGATGTGTGCTCGCCATTGGGAGAAGTAGGGCCGCAGAGGGAAGATTTGGAACTGGAGGGGCGGTTTGGTTCTCCTGGCCTGCGGATATCTGTACCCGTACCCGGAGCGGAGTTACCATAGTTACTGCATAGCCTACTGCTGTACTTTCTTAGGCTACTAGGACATCAGTACACTGTCATGCACTGTGAAAGTGTCATCATACTTTGTCTAATGTCGTACTTGTAATGACATTACACTTTCATTGTGGCTTTTTTTCTTGGCCGAAGTAACTAGTTCACCACAAATCAGAGCAGGTCGGACGGTCCGAGTATCACTGTATAATACCGCACGTGTAGATCTACGGTGCCGATGGCAATGCGGCAGTTAGCTGAACTATTGACAACTGCAGCGACTCAATTAACGCTGGTAAGTGAGTAGTTTGCAAATAACTCATCATTCTAGCTTGATCCCTGGTTAGACTGCAGGCCTGTCAATCAAGCTTTCGACAGCTGAGGGACTCCCGGATTAGCTCCGGCGACTCACAATCACATTCTCCTCTAGATGGGCTTTAAAAGTAAACGGTCTCAACCGGAACTGTTACTGATACTTCGGTCTTCACCTGCCCGCGCTACAGCCTACAGCCTGCGTTACAGTATTAAATTTTGTATCGAAGACTGAAATGACAATGCCAGGACTTAGCGGACTGGCTCAAGATTGACACTCCATCCTGATTATCGTGAATATCGTGATCATCATGATCATCATGGCCAGCAGCTCTCACTCTCAGCCTGAGGGCATTCTCACGACGCTATTGTACATGTATATGACTGTTCCTCATAGTCACCGCTTGACGTGAGAAAGGAAATCGAACTGAGCGGGCAGAGAGGACATCATGATTGTTACGAGGAACGACGATGAAAGCCAATACTCTGCCATGTGCTGGCACTGTCCACTCAACCAGTGATAATTGATATGACTATGTACAGACTCAGTACGTACACACTGGTACACTCAAGAGTACAAAGTCTGCTGCAAATCTCAGACTACAATATGCTGTCTATGTCAGGTGAGTGGACTGTGTGACAGTCACAAATCATGTATGCCAATACATGTACTATGATCCACAACAGAACAGACTTACTCCAATCATGCACCATGCAGCGGAATTGCAATGATCTATAGCATTGTACTAAGACTAAGAGGCTTAGAGTCAGTGGTACGATAAGTACAACAATGATGTATGCGTAACAGTGTCACCATCAAAACCTCATTGAGAATGCAATACTGACTCCGGTATAACAAAGCTTCAATTACCCTACCCCAGAATCACTCACAGAATAATAATATTATTATACACTTTTGGCCACTGCACTGTATCCGAACAGGGACTACTAGTACTACTAGTAGCTAGTGGTCCCAAGGAGTAGGTGTTCAGATAACTGACTTAAAAAGGTCACTTGAGGCTGTGTGAGGATGTCACTTTCCCACTGACGCTAGCAAATCAGACCATACATGCAGCAGGGACACAGGTGGAGAGAAATACAAGGAGGGGTCCGACAGTCTCACAACTGTACTTCTGAAGTGCACATAATCATTACATCTATCATCCCATGTGCGCCGGGCTGCATCAGGTGTTCACTGAGTCAAACTGACATTGTCAGCGCCATCACAATGAAACCACTGAGTTGCTTCAAAGTGCTATGACACTGAACACCTGCTGCTCTGGTGAAATGGATAGTATTGACAATTGCAGCACGTCTTCAAGTTGCAACTGAGTGCAAGTAGTGGGGCTTGCTGTACCAGAAGAATGTATGCGTGTGACTGCATTGGTAAATACGTGTAGGTCTTCCGAGACGTACCATTGCAGACCCACCGGACTGAACATCTTCTGCACGTGGGTAAGTCATCCAAATATAATACATACATTGACGAAACCTCATGACTTAGGATGTGTTTGAAATGTCCCCATAATATTACCTTTTCGAGAAACACATTTTTGAAGTGTATCTCAATAGAATGGCTGCTTCCAGCCTCCGCACCATTTCCTTTGGAATTGTCATAGCAAAGAGATTTTCCAAGCGTGCTTCCCACGTGATTATGGGCTTCCCTTATCCGATACGTGCAAATTTTGCCGTAGGTTCTACGGGAAATGCATACAAAAAGCAGTTTTCGCCGGGAACATTCCAAGCTCTTTCAAATTGATCCCACCTCTCCCATCGGATGAGGTTGTGGAGCTTCCAGGAGGTTTTAGGAGACTTTCGTTTTCTGAAGAGGCCAATAAGCCACCTCCTCAGAAAAACGAAACTCGTTGAAAAGTGAAAGAGTGACAATTCCAACGCCCCCTACAAGAGAGAATTCAGTAGTCACTAGACTAGAGATGAACTCCTGATGACGAGTCAACGTGGCTCAGGACAGAGTTGTGTTATAAAATCGACTTTACTTGAACAGTACACGTGAGGGCCACTGCAGTGCACTTGCAGCTTCATGTTCACAGTAGCTAAGCTAACACAGACATAATAATTGCATATACATGTACCATGTCTACAATGATGTTGCCAATACACCGTTTCACTTATTCAAGCTCACAGTTGGATGCACTGTGGCACTCTAGCCGCCCAGCACTTGCCGGGCACCAAAATTAGCACACCTACACTAGTCACTAGGACTGGTCAGCTGCCGTTAGGGCAAACAAAGGAAACACTAATCAACCCATGCCGTGTACGAAAGCTAAAAATGATTGGCACCCTGAATGAAAACATTTTTTCTTGGCGTGTGTACCCTGTACCGGGCAATGCCTCACGCCCCACTTGAACAAAGGAGGTGATCAGTGTTGTTAAAACCAGTCATGCTCATGCTCCCCCCCCCCCCCCCCTCTCCATGAGTACTATCTGCATACATGTATTTTGTACTAAGACAGGAGGTGTCATGCATGCAGAAGACTGAGTACACTGTAGTGTAGGCATAGTAAACTATAAATAATTAATTAGTGATTATATTGCACAAGCTAAACACTAGTGCACTGGCGACTAGACTGTCCTCCTTTTTCTTGTTTTTTCTTTGTTTTATTCAGTGCCCCTCCTCCTCCCTGGCCCTGCACATGCACATGTGCTCATCTTTGATCTGGCCTACTACAGACAAACAGCCTGAGATCTGTAGTCAGTTGGAAAGCAAGGCAAGCAAGCACGCCAGCTCATCCTACTTCGAAGTAGTGTACTCACTCCATGGTGCTATTCTAATAATGCATGGGTTCAGTAGATCTGTGACCGAAATGAATCTCTGCTGTAATCGCCAGCTAGAGCGCATGTGAAGAATTACTGGCTTCCAATCAATGCATGGAACATTTATGTGGGGTTGCATTACCGTACGTCCGCCAGTGATTTGTCTACTTTTGTATTTTGTCTCGCACGCTCGGACACAGGGGTGTGTGTGTCTTACTGTGTGTGTGTGTGTGCGTGTGTGTGTGTGTGTGCGGTGTGCGTGTGCGCGCGTATGTGCGTGTGTGTCCATGCAACACCATCCAGCCATCTAACCCTGTGTCTTGGGACTTCGTCTGCCACTGTGACCCAGATAGTACCTTACGCGAGCTCAGCAGGACCTCACTCTCCTCCCTTTTCCTCTCCATGACTGAAACGCTGCTGGTCCTTCCTGAACCTGCAGTTATCAGCAGAGGGCATTGTAATATTGTCTGTGTATGTGCATGTGTGTATATGCGGGTATGTCTGTTCTATGTTTCATATCAAGAGTACGTGGTAATGTGATACTAATGTCTATATAATTATGTTGCACGAAGAAACAGCGACAATCAACTAACAAAGGACGGTGCCTTCTTCTAGAAATGTCAGAAGAGCAGGGAATTCCTGGCAATTGGCCAACTGGGCCAAAATACCAGTTCGGGTTAGGGTGTTTTTGTAATGTGATCGCGGAACTGGCCCAGTGGGTGTATGTAATTCCTAGTTCTGACTACAAGTAGAGTTACTATTGTAGTGGTCCAGTTTTGGTGGATCACGGTTACACAACCGCATGTCAGAGTGGTATGCAGACAGGCAAGAACAGACACACGGCAATTCACAAGGCTAAACGGCGGCCAATTCCACAACGACACTGATCATGCTGCAAGTGGCGCTCTGCACACCACCTTGTGCTACAACTACACCTACACGACTGTACATTGTAGTTTGACTGAGCACAGCCGCCGCTGTGCTGTCATGTTGTACTTGTAGCAGTAGCCACACAACTAGACCCTAGGTGTCACACTCGTTGACCGCTGTTGCCGGAGAGTGATCACTTTTCTTGTGCTGTTTCTCAGTTAACTTCCTGTTTCAGAGTTCCACACACAGAATGAGACACAACAATTGACTAAGGCTGGTTGGGCGGTGACAAGAAAACTTGACTTGGAAAATGAGGCTTCACAATCAACTTTGCTCGTTCACATCGCAGGGTAGCTGACATAGAAAATGGCTGTTTCCTAGTTAGGGAGGAAGTGACGGTTTGCTCAAGTCAGGCTGCCTAAGCTCAGTGGGTAGAACAGTAAAGCAACAGTGTGGCATATGGCAAGATCATGATGTTAACTCCCAAAGGCGTGAGCAGATCTGAACTGGCACTGTGACACCTACAGTGAATTACCAGGTGAGCTGACAGCTGCATCTCCGCAAACTTCCGGCTCACCGGGAGAGGGGTTTCACGGGAAAATAATTTATCCAATTTACAATACGTACAATGTTGGAGTGACTCTGAGAGTCTGCAAGCCGAAAGTTGCTGTTTTCTCTACTTCACATTGAATCAAAGAGTTGCCAAAGTGTCCATGAATGTGCTGTGACAAAGGGTTGTTGCTTTTTTTATTTGTCTATAGTATACAGGGCATGCAATCATCATGGTACCACCAAGAGTACATAACCCCCTGGGTTATGTACTCTTGGTAACACTGAGACATGGCATTGAACAGTTTCAGTGGCACAGTGAAGATACCGTAAAGTCTTGTATAAAAGCCGCACTTGAATAGAAGCCGCCATCGAATAGAAGCCGCAATTTTGGGCCCATCAAAATCACACATAAGCCTGGTTTTAGTGTCGACATTCATAGAAATACCCGTCTTGTATAGATTAGAAGCCTGTCTCATATAGAAGCCTGCAAAATTTCACCAAGAAAGTCATAGAAGCCGCGGCTTTTATACAAGACTTTACGGTAGTACAAGAAACCCCAATGGGTGTGGACAACTCATTGCACACCATAGCCACCATCTCCTTGTCATTCCATGCCTTGTATGTGTGTGTTAAGGACAATGGCCTGGTAGGCCGCTGCAGAGACTGTGTACACCTCCAGGGTTTCATGCTGAACTTCCGGCTGCGACAAGAATGAATGAGCTAGCTCATAGACCTTCACTTTGCTGGCCTAACTGAGGCATAAATAAACTACAGAGGTGAGTGACATGACTCACAACTAACCATGTCCCCCAGTTAGCCACATCAGATACAGGAAAGCAACGCCTTGTTAGTCGTGGACACGGTCGTGATATGTACTGGCCACGTAGCCAGTTGTGCCTGCAAACCCAGACTCTCAGTGCCTACAACAAACAGAGAGAGAGAGAGATGAATATTCAGTTAGTGTTCTTCAGAATAAGCTCTCCTGCTCATAATCATCAACACAAAGCGCAAAATCTGACAATTGGCCGACTCTGGACAGCATCAACAAAAAAACATTCTTTGGCTAGGACACAAGAAACGTACAAAAAAGAAAGGTCAGGGAGAGATAAAAAGTAACCAATATAATTGAAGTAATTGTACTGAAACGCCTCATCTCAACGCGAAAACAATATGCAGCGTTTTAGATTTCAGACGCTCAGGGTGATACTGACGGAGGACTTGTGTCCGGAGTCTATACAGAGTAGGCGCCGCGACTTCCAGCGCGGTGGAGTCTATACAGATTTAGTACAGGAGCAGGCAACTACTGCCCGTGCAGTGCTGTGGAAAACACAGGCTCTTCTACCCCCGCTTCACATCTAAACGCTACGATGCAGTAAACGCTGATCAACAGAGATGGAAATTGCACACGCACCACCATCGGCTGCAGTAGCAGCAGCCGAAGGCCCATTCGCTTGCTGACGGGGGAAACTTCCCTGAGAAGATCCAGTGACAGGCTGGACTACATACACTGCTAGAATATCCAAGGGCAGCTGCAATATGGAGCTCGCCTGGTGGCTTAGTCGTATGTTGTGCATGTATGACCAACTGCTGTACATGTATGCTGCGCCATACATGTACAGCAGCAGTAGCAGTCAAGGAGCTGAGGAATAGAGCAATGGTGGTAGCAGCACTACAGCCAGGTGACCCGTGCAAGCAGCCAATTGATACGCGCACACCTTCACACCAGGGTGTTTATGTGCAGCAAGAAGAGCCACAGGGCCCAGGGTATCTTGCCGAAGGCGCCGTCGCAGTGCCAACACAATGGCCAGATTGCTGGCGTGGCAGTTCAACTCTACGAGTGCTGCCAGGCAAGGGCGGAATGATCAAGACGAAATCATCAAGACCGGCTTGCCATATCAGTAGAACATCAGCTACGCTGTCCAGTGGCGGCAAATAGTTCATCGGATCCCATTGGGTTCAGGTCGTACCCCTTCAATGCTGGTTGACCTGCAGCAAGAACACCAACACAAACAAACAAGTATGTCATAACTACATGTATACGTTTAGATGGATATGTACTTGCACACACGTCGTACAGTACACAGCCCTGTGCAGTCCTATGGCAAGGATCCACTACCAATGTAAGTTAGTGAGCAAAAGGGCACTGTTAGAAGTGAAAGAGTGCAGCAAGGTGACTGGAAGTACTAGTAGCCGGAACTGGAGACCCAACCAATACATGTACACTGCCAGTTCGATTGGCAGGCTTGCCACTGTTCCACTGTGCAACCAAGTATCGGCGGCATCTGCACGAGCCCATTGTGTGATAGAACGTAGCATTACGCACGCTATGGATGACCGCTTGGGCAACAATTATGGCTAGCAGTTACCATGCACAGAAGGCTTAGTCTGCTCTGTTAGCAGAGCCACCAGAGCGAAAGCAAGAAGGGAGGAAACTCCAACAACAGTGGAAAGGGACGGTGAGCAATAGAGCACACATGCCTAGTACACGCAAACACAGTATAATTATACAAGCGGAAACAACACACACCCTTCTCCCTCCCCAGCGCACACAGATGATGTTGCAGCATTATGCGGTGGGAGCTGTAGTGGCCCTCATGCACATCAGACAAACACGCATGGTGACACAGTGCTGAATGAGCCAGCTGAAGCCCAGTCACAGGTCAACAAGCGAAGCCATAACAGTGCGGTACCGTTATGAACACCCAAAGTCACTTTAAAAACCGCCACACGGACAGTCCTAAGGCAAAAGGCCGTTCGTGTGACACACATGAACAATTGAACAGACACTGGTGGTGCACACACACACACACACACACACACACACACACACACACGCACACACACATATACACGCACACACACACACACTCACGCATGCATGCACACATCCACACAGAGCATTGAGAGTTACAAAGACATTCCTGTGGTCAAAGTCACACCGACCGATAACAGCTACAAGTGTACTGCACAGCGCTGACAAACACAATGGCTTACACCACACCACAACACAGCACAGCATCTGGAGAAGATATTTCTGGCTCCAGCAAAAACTACACGGCAATTCCAGCCTAGCGCAGCAGTCACAGCATTCCACCCTGAAGCAAGATCGAGGCTTGAGCCTTGAAGGAGGCGAGCTCAGGCCAGTCACACACTGCTCTGCATTGCGTTGGACAATGTGCCACTCAACGGCCTGCTCATAGTTGACTCGGTACACAGTGCCAATAGAGCGGTTCAGCCGAACCAACATACTAAGGTGCGCTTCCAAGATGTTTGCACATTGATGCATATACCACAACAGTAGTGGAAATACATGCCTATGGCTTTTAATGCTGTGACTACCAGATGCCTGCAACACTTGTTATATTTACTGCACTTCAACAACAAAAAGCGTTGCCTGCACGGCGCCTGTTTGTGTTTTCCTCTGTCTGAGGTTCCAGGCTCCAGCCAGTCTCCTACAGGCTAGTCCTGGCATATCCCAGCAAGCCTCGATTACACTGGCTGGTCATCGGTCGGGCTCTGCTGTTAGGGTCTGCTTTTTAGGTTGAATGCAGAGGAAGAGCTCCATGACCAGCAAGTGTTCAATAGGCATTATACCAGCAGGACCATTCACCGTGCATCAGTGCTAAAGTGGAATAGACATTAGTCATGTACTGCATGTAGTCCCCCTGGGCACCGTCCATCATGGTACACCCAGTGTCACTGTCAGAGAAGATCCCCCTTGCCGCCTACCCAACGAGGGGCCACCCGATCATCAGTGATATAAACATTTGGGACACAACTGATCAGTATTGCTACTGCTGGCTCAGCTTACCCTGAAGTTCTCGCAGTGTTGCAACCTTGCCTTTCAGAGTGCCGCGAACACTATCAATCTCCTCGCCAAGCCGTTTCTGATCTGCTTGGTTGCAGATGTGCAAAAATAGTAACAAGAAAAAAAGCAGCACACATGGAAATATAGATAAACACGTTCACACACATACAAACACAAGCCCTATATTGACAATCCATCAAAGCAAAGTTAGCTGTGGCTGGGTGTACTCTCCTCGAAGCAAAGAAATCACACGGGAATCCATGTACCAGTACTGTACCATAATACCCCACCAAGGCGTACCATCTCGGCCAAATTATCATATCCTCTCACTGAAGTTTAGGAGATTCTCCAAAGCTCTCCAAGCTCTTCGAGCGCCAAAAGTGTTTCAAACTTGGAGATAGCACCCTTACTTTAGCTTGGTCTTTCACCGCACACCGGATTGAAGTGGCTTTTCGGGCCAGTGAAGTTCTATTCTTCAATTTTCATATTTTTCACGCAGACTTACTTTTAGACACACACAGACACACACACACACACACACACACACACACACACACACACACACACACACACACAGGCACTTCCACACAGACATGCACAAGCACACAGACTTGCACAAACACAAGCACACACAGCACACTTGCACGCACGCACACACACACACACACACACACAACCTGGGGTTAGACTAGGGCTAAACGCCTAAATGCAGCACCAGTAGCTGGCACAATATCCCACTGCATAGTACATACCGGTATCTAGCATCGTCTTGACTTGCTTCGTGGGGAGCTTCATAAACATGTTGCCAAGGCAAATCCATGATTTTTGAACTGCAGTAGATGGCAAGGATAACAGTCGTGAATAGCAACAGCAAAATGACAACAACTGCTACTGCGAGGGTTCATGTTGCGCAGGATTGACGGCTTATTTTTCTCTCGTCTGAGTAACGTAATTCACCGTCATAATACCACGCATACGCTATCTTGCGACGTGCTGCCGATCAGACAGTAGGGCATGGGCGCAACTGTCCAAAAAATCAACTCTACTTACCCTGGGCACGTTGTTCGTCCTCAGCATGCAGCGATTTCAAGGTGACGCGCAGCGCTTCCCGGGTGCTCTGCCGCCTGCGGTCTAAATCAACAACCTGTGCACATAACAATGGAGCAGGTTCTAATAAGGAGCATATCGACCATACATGTCACAGGTACAATGTAGTCTTCTTACTCTTAGGGAGGAAAATACAAGATCAAAACCACATCCGAGGTACCTAGTTATGTATGAGCCGATGATCAGCTGATGACGTAATACAGGTAGCTGCACACAATGCCAGTGAGAGTAGTAATTTTTCAACTTGCACATATGTATGACAATACATTGTATAAATGCAAAGGGGTGCATGTACAATCATGTACTTCTTGTACTGCGAGTTCAGGCCATGCACTGTGATTGTGTGAAGTACACTCGACACATGAATCCATTTTGCTTTCACACACAGCCGAGTACAAGAACGTTACATAACACATACCATGTGGGTTCATTTGAACGTTGAAACCTAACCTACCTACGTACCTACAATGTGCTTCTGTTGCTTGTGGATGGGTGGGCCAACATGCATGTGCCTCTATGTCAGGGTCCTAGCCAAAGGAGGGTAGAGGGGCGCAGCGCCCCCCCCCCCCCCCCCCCCCCCCCGTGAAAATGTGCCCCCTCCCCTTCTTACTATTATAGTATTATTGATTATTGCACTCCATTGGAACACAAACCATCCTGTCCACACATCTACGACGGTCTCTCCACCACCACACTAAACTCCCCATTCGTGTATACATTAACCACTTGTGTGCCACCGCTCTGCATACAATTAATTATTATAATACAGTCATGCACTGCCTACATGGCTGGAGACGATTGTATATCAACGTTGTGGCCTCATGACTTCAAGTTCAAATATGGATCAGGAATCTCAAGATTCTTCCCATGAAAAAAATGTTCTATGTATAATCTGCAGTGGTGCCTCTGGCCAGTCGTGTCGTTCGCTGGCTATAATTCCAACTTTTAAAACTTTGGACTGAAGTTGCAAATAATAGATACGTTCTGGGGAAAAAATTAATAGATTCCTTTCATAGAAAGTACCACGCTACGTACATGTAGAGAGAGGGCGGCATGTACATAATAATGTAGAGAGAGGTCGGCATGTACATAGTACTGCAGACTACGTGACGAACTTCAAGCACTACATGCATCCTCTACTACGGTATCTCTATCTGGTGGGATGTTACGCATAGCTGACGGCACTTACGATGAAGCAATTATGTTATTATTTGTACAATTATGTAGAACTGTTTACCTGTTGCTTCGTCGCCAGCACGTCCTCAGCGACGATCTCGACTTTGGCAAGCAAGTCCACCACCGAAGAAGCACTGTCAAATTTATCCGCCATGCCTGTGAGAGCCTTGGAGGTGTGAAACGATTACAAACTACATGTACTCTCCAGCTCCACGTCTTCGCCTTTTATTTGTGTTATTGCAATTCTAAACTAACTTTCTTGAATCTCTTGCATTCGCAAAAGTAGATCTACAAGTCATGTACACCAGGGAGTCGTAAAATACCGACTCCCTTGTCAAATTTTGACGACTCTTTGACGAGTTCAATCATGTACCTTGTGAAGTAATAATATTATTAGTTGTGTACTGAGTACGGTAGATATTACTTGGTCCACCATTATTTAATTTTAATATTATACAAACTAAACACTTCATTTAATCAGTCTATATCTGTCAGTTTCTTTGTTATGAATGGACTATACTGTTGTAGTTACCTGGTTACAATCTTCTCTTCCTATCTCTCTTCCTACCTGTCCGAAGCCCCCCCCCCCCCCCTTTTTAATCATTGCCGCTGAGTGTCCGTTGTGACCAGGAATCAAGTAACTTAGTTGGCTTGTAAGTTACAGTTAGTTAATAGTAGGAGAAACCAGATCAGTTGCAGTGATGAAGCTGTACAGCATGTAGGTCGACCATCCATAGTCTCCCACCGGGAAATGTGGGCTTTAAAAAAATGACTACGGGTAGATCTACTGCCCAAATAACTGCAAAAGCAAAGTAAACTTGAAGGAAAGTAAACTTGAAGGTATGGGAAAATAAGTCAGTGGTGAATCAATCTTCCCGGTGCTTCTTCATCGCCATTCCGTTATTGGCTCGCCACGCGTGAGTATACTGCTTAGCCGATGATGAAGCGAATATATCCGCTATCGCAGGCACCATGGCTTGCACCCTTGGCACTGGTGCTACTGGTCGGAACGTTCTACACCACTAGATACAGCCGAACGTTGACGACGACAAAAGGGGAGAGAGGTCCGCATTTTCCCACTCTAGTAGATGGCTCTGACCAGCTGCTAAAGTACACGTGCAGGTTTACAGAGGATCGCTCATCGCCCCATACACCTGACAACCCTGGTGAGGTGGCTATAGTAAGTCTTCTATCTGCATCTGTACCATCACTGCTTCTAGATTACATTCTAGGACTGGAAGTTTTGGGAACGTCACTGGAAAGGTTTGCTCCGAAGAGCGTGCCGCGTGTACTCATGGTGTTGGAAGGTACAGACTGTGACAAGCTTTGCATGCGACGACTTCATGATACTGGCTGGCGTATCTGCCATGCGCCACCTATTACGCCGCCGCGTCCGTCCGATTTTGCTCGCTTCAAGGATCAGTTTGTCAAGCTTCTTATGTGGAACATGGTGCAGTACAAACGTGTCGTTTACATGGATGCCGACACGCTAGCTGTGGGAAGACTGGAGCGGCTGCTCGCCACACCGGTTAGTATGGCTTCGAATAAACCACTTGCTGTAGCACAGGATATATTCAACGGCAAGTGGGTGGATGGATTCAATATGGGTGTTGCTGTAATACCGACTAATCGAACAGAGTTTGTCCGTCTGTTCAACTTGCTGGAAAGTGACAATGTTGAGTATCGATCCACAATGTCTGAGCAAGGATTTCTGTCCGTAGTTTACAAGAATGTGTGGACAAAACTGGCTTTTGAGGATAATGCAAACTTGGCAGCTTGGTTATGGGACAGGTCTCTGTGGCAGAGTAAGAAATCTGACATACGTCTTATCCACTTCACCATGGAGAAGGGATGGAAAATCGATTCCAAGTCGAAGTATGCTGAGATTGGCCGCCTTTGGAAAGACACAAGAGATTTGCTCTTCGCACGACGCTTGACTTCCATCGATACATACGACCTAGCCTTTGTGTGACAAAACACCAAGACCAAGGAGAGGCGATGTTGAGAGATCTGCACTGGCGGTATTGTGTGAGTCGATGGAGATGTACAGTTGTGCTGAGTGAAATCCAACTCAAGGCGAGCCGGTCTCACACAGGAACCAGGCGCACACCTGTTTACGTAACTGCTGCCACTACGTTGTCTGTCACCTTGTGCTGGCTGGCTTGGACAAGCAGTGGACATGGCCGGCCTGACCGCATCAGGGTAGCAGCCAGGCCTGGCAAGGATGGCGGCGGCGGCGGACTTGGCACCGGTAGCAGCGCTTCCGACGGCATCACCGGTGCACTTCTCTACAGCGCTGCCTTCAGGCCCAGTGCAGGTGTCGGTTGCCCGCTGGCGGGTGGTTGATGTCCTTGTGCTGCTCGCTGAGCTTGCTTCCTGGCTAGCCGATCTCCGTCCGCTGCGAGTCTCCCAGTTACGGTTGATTTCAGCCAGGAGCCTCCGTTTAAAGTTGCTCTGTTAACGTATGTAGCCACCACTTGCATCACCTGAGTACATACTGCACAGATCTGCACCTGAGTACATACTGCACAGATCTTCACCAGCAGTGGTGCTGGCGGTAGCTTGCGATCTGCGGGTGCACTTCTCAACTCTACTCCGTCTTCAAGATCTACTGTACGTATACAGTGCAATACGTTTCGACCGGGGAAAGACTCTCCGTGTGTGCTCTACACTTCTGTCCAACGCCTGTTCCAGGGGGTGACGCTTTAACACCACTCTCTAAACTGCCGGGACAGCCTATCTTTGCATTGCCAGTGCTGATAGGAATGGATTGGGGTGGGGACAAGGTTTTTGAATTTTTTTAGCACTTCTTCGATATTTTAAGAACCCGCTACAACATTTTTTTTACGAAGCCTCTTGTACGGGCAAAATTAATAAACTGATACAATCATCTACAACATTTACAATGTAGGTGCTGAACAGATCTGCAGAGTTGACGAGTTTTTAAGACCCATCCTATCGCCTAGGCTACAGTCCTCTGCTGGAGTCAATTTATGACGACTCTCTGATGCATGTACTTTGATCGAACCTTGTAAATGTACGCTGAGTCTGGTTGTGACAGTCTACGTGGGGACAATATTAATAAGAGCTATGAAAAGTATGAATGCCGCAGACCTCACCACGCAACATGACAACTTGCTTATCGAGGTTTGAATGTTTGTTTTTTCCATAATCGATTTTTAAACTCTTATCATCAGTGGAAATACGGAACTGAAGTGATCAAGTGAAAAAACAAAGGTTCAAAAAAAGGACAAGGAGGAGTGGTAGACCACTAAGCCAACCAAATATGCCTTCCCCATCGTTACCCTTGCCGCCGCCCGAGCTACCACCAGTGCCGTTGGTGGCTGGGGTTGGGGTGGAGTCGGCAATAACGACATCACCGCACAGACTTTGGACCTACTTCTGTGACACAGTGTAGTGCGGGCACTGCAGCACACGGTAGCGCCCACGCCGGTGGTCCAGAGACTGCGGAGGACCCGAGGTCAACTGCGAATTATTCAACGGAGATATGTTCCAGGAATGGATGGCCAAGGCCCACGCGGAACAGAGAACGAAAAGTAAACAGAAATCAGAAGAAACCGTGAAAACGAAACAAAACGTGGAGACGCTGATGAGCTACAGATAGAGCAACAACAAAGGTGGAACAAGTACATGTACACGCATACTGCATGGATGGTATGCCTATGGGACTGGCTGACCCGGTGAGGATGAGATGGATGACGATGCGCCAGATGACGGCGAGGCGGATGACAGGTGAGACGGCTGTTGGTGGTGACGATAAAGCGGATGAGGAGTCAGGCGGCAGGGAAGGTGGTGGAGCTGATGAGGGTGAAGTTCGTAAGAAGTCAACGGTGTACTGGCATTTGCTATCCAGTCGTCCCGACTGTTTCAGTGTGTATGATGATTCTCACTTCTCTGTACTGCGGCGTGCCCGTTATCGTGGTTATGTTCAGCAGGTGAAAGTCCTCGAAGCTGTCTGTATTCGTATGCATACATGGAAGTCATCACCGCCAACACTCCGCTTCCCTGGATAACACCATCACTCCATACCCAATAATCACCTTGTACTTTTGTGGCACCGTGGCCTAAGTGTCATCACATGGTATTTACGTGTCTCCTCACACCGCCCAGGTGCATGCTATGGCCGATGAAAGCTTTGGCGGAGGCTCCAGTGGTGGTCTCAGGGACACTAGATCCAGTCCATCATCCGATCCACTTTCTCACGACAGTGTCATAGTGGTGACAGTGACTGTTCAACTGTTGGGTCGAATGGTCTTGGTTCGAAGTCTCTACGACAAAGCGTTCTTGAGATATTTCACTTTGAAATTGCAAAAACGGGGGCCGCGCCGTGACGTCATGCGGCCATTTCACTCCGTCATCCCGGCCGGCCTACGTCATTGTGGCACGGTCTCCATCTAGGAGCACTATTTTAGTATACAATTTCAAGGAAAGACAAGCTACTCCGAACTCTGTACCCAGCAAGAGCGATTACAGAATACTATAAAGTACAGTGCGTATAGGTTATAGCGTGGTCGTGTAAAAGAATATACTGCCTACAAGAATCATCTCTCATGTTTTCATAATCATAACATGGATTTCAAGTCCACATTTATTCTTACAAGCAATTTTATCCCATAGTAGAATATATCGGTCCTAAGAATGAACTTTGTGTAGCGAAACATGCCAGATTAGTACAAAGTGTATCGCCTGTAGTAATATCATCTGTCCAATTCCGTTCTGATCTGACTCTCGTTGCGTCGTAGTGCTGCAGATTCAACTGTTGTGGTCATGAAACTCGTGTTGCATAGCCACATGGTAAGCCTATGGGACTATGACCAGCCACATGCACAGAAGTACTGCGTTGCATGTACGATGATCTTCCTGCCCCTGCGCACATGCATTATGATATGCCACACTTGATTTATCGTGTGTAAGAAATATCGGGAATAACTCGGAATAGAAAGTCGTCTTTCAAACACCCACGCTATAATCGATACCTACTGTACACGACCATGACGACTGACGTTAGGAGAAGTCTATAAAAAAACTCCCCTATAAGAATAAATGAGGGTCAGAACCGGGTTAATAATAAGGACCAAGAGTACATGACTGTACAGTAGGTATCGATCGGTTAAAGCGTGGGTGTTTGAAAAACGACTTTCTATTCTTATTTCCGATATTTCTTACACACGATAAATCAAGTGTGACATATCATGTGCATGTGCGCAGAGGCAGGAAGATCATCGTACATACAAGGTAGTGCTCCTGTGCATGCGGCTGGTCACAGTCACATAGGCTTACCATGTGGCTATGCAACATGAGTTACATGACCACAATAGTTGAACCTGCAGCACTACGACCCAACGCGAGTCAGATCAGAACTGCTTTGGACGGATGTTATTACTACAGGCGATATACTTTGTACTGATCTGGCATGTTTCGCTACACAAAGTCCATTCTTAGGACCGATAATTCTTCAATCCATACATCCTGTACACACACCTTGTACACACTCTCTCTAACGGTCTCTAGGCTACACTGCAATTGATATACATTAGATCAAATTTTCGGGCAAGGCCCATCATCAGGAATAAGTCTACTGTAGACAAAACAGGGCTTTATATATATGTGACAAGTACTAGTGGCCAAAGGTGTGATGGTATAGCGCAAAATGTTGCAATACCACAGGAAGCGAGATTATTATTCTGTGTGATATGTATGAAGTGAAAATATAGTGCAGTGATAGTGCAGGATTACTAATGTGAGTACAAAGCAGAAAAATACACACTTCTAGCAACACACACACACACACATACATACACACACACACACACACACACACCACACACACACACACATACACAGTGCACAAATTCTTGCACAAATTATGACAGATATATTTACACATCACCCAACAGTCGCCAACCATTGTCACTGTTCACTGCCGGCTTCCTCTTCCTCATGAATAGTGCCTCCATGATTCTGCGGTCAACGTAAGACCGTTGCTTGCTGGCGAGAACTTGTAGATGGGAAAATGGCGAGAACTCCGGTGACGATGGGAAGGTGTGCTGCTTTTGTCGATAATGGTCTCCCCATGGCTTTCCCAATGTCGCGTTCTTGGCTTGTCTGTAGTGCTCCTCAGTCCTCTTGCGTGCTGTCCTTTCTGTTTCCCCGACGTATTCTTCTTGACAGATGGTACATTTCATAGAGTACACCACATCTTGGCCCTGGGACATACAAACATTACGCTTCAGACCACCATCGCATGCACGACATTCAGCCGGCCGACCCCGCCCCCTCTTCTCCCTCTGCCGCTGTACCGTCCTGGGGCATTGTGGCTTGCTGAATGACGACGAGACCAACATATCCTTTAGTGAGCGACCGGACGTAAAGACCACACGCACATCTCTATCAAACGACCTGACCACTTGACGAACCCTCCTTGCAAGCTGGTCATTTACGTACGGTACCTTGACAAGTGACGTGTACTGTCGTTTCCCCTTCCGATGTGGTGTCTGCTGGTGGGGCTGCTCTCGGATGCGTGCGGTTGTCCGTGCGGTGTCGGAGTGTTGTATGGCTGATTGTATAATGCGCCGTGGGTAGTGGTTCTCAAGGAGGAGTGTGGTGATCTTTTCAATCCCCCGTTGTCGTCCTGCCTCCGTTGTTGCGTTGTTGACTGCCCTGCTGATCTGGTTGTTGGCGACAGCGATTTTTGTTTCCATTGGCAAAGCAGACAAATATGACAAATGTACACCACTATGGGACGACTGGACAAATAACTCCCAGTCCAACTTGCCACCTGACACCGAGATTGACAGGTCCAAGTAACTGATGGTGTGAGAGTTGGTCGTGTGTGTATATTCTGCGGTGAATTGTATGCGTGGGTGGCGGGAATTGAGATAATCCACAAATGCCAGAAATGCCGCAATACCAAAGATCCAAACGAGTATGCAATCATCAATATACCGACGATATAAGAGCGGTTTCAGGGGATACTCAGACAGGGCACGTGACTCGAATTTCGACATAAAGATAATAGCCAATGGGGGCGCGAGGTGGTTGCCCATAGCTAGACCCTGCTGTTGTCGATAGATGTCGCCGTCAAACTCAAAGAAATTTGACTCTAGGACAAACATGAGCATTTCGCGTATGTCTGATAATGACAGTGCAAACATATCAACTGATTCCTCATGCTCTTCCAATAACTCTATGGCCGCATCGATGCTTTCTTGAATAGGAATATTCGAGTACAATGACACAACGTCCAGAGACGCCACAATACATTCCTCTGGGAGGTTTTCGAGATTGCGCAACGCCGTCATACAATCTTCAGTACTCGATAAATGTGCAGGCACGAATGGAAGCAATTGCGTAAGAATGCGCTCAAGCAGAAGTGAAATACTGCTGGTCGGGCTACCGCATGTCGATACCACGGGGCGGAGTGGGAGGCCAGGCTTGTGGTCTTTGGGGAGTCCATAGAAGGTGGACATTCGCGAGTTGTGTGGCTTCAGTGCACGAGTGAGTGGTGGTGGGATTTTTCCGGTAGTAATGTCCTCTGCTATCCCAGCAGATGTCTTGTCCAGTTCGTTCACGGTAATGTCGGACCTCTCGTAGTTGACCTCGCTGCTGAGCATTTGGTCAATTTTGGACATGTAGTGTGTTTTGGCCATGACAACAAACCCCTTGCTCTTGTCGGACGGCTTGATTATGATGCTGTTGTTCTCACGTAGGTCTCTGATCATCGTTTGTTCTTTTCCCGTCAGATGTCGAAGTGGGGTCTTCTGGGGAGCCGTCATTGCCATCTCCCTCCTGTACAGCATAGTGAGGTTCTCCCGGAGCCTTCTCATTTTTCCTTCCTCTTCCCTTTCCATAAGTGGTGGCTGTTTCTCCGTCGTAGCTATTTTCCTCAGCTTCGGATCTTTTCGCAACGGTTTCATGTTTTCATCCTCCCTTTCCTTTTCTCTTTCGTCATATGTGCCATTCTCTCTGTTCTTCTTTGCGACTTCCCTCCATCGTCTCCCAAATTCGCTCCACTCCAGCCTCCACCTCCATAATCATGCGTTCATCCGCCTTCCTGGCAGGAATGAATTTCGGTCCCAGTGACAGTAGTTCTCTCGCGTCGTCATGTATCTGACCATCGACTCCACTCTCCACCACCACCCTCGCTGACCCAGTCAGGGGAAACAGAAAGGACAACACGCAAGAGGACTGAGGAGCACTACAGACAAGCCAAGAACGCGACATTGGGAAAGCCATGGGGAGACCATTATCGACAAAAGCAGCACACCTTCCCATCGTCACCGGAGTTCTCGCCATTTTCCCATCTACAAGTTCTCGCCAGCAAGCAACGGTCTTACGTTGACCGCAGAATCATGGAGGCACTATTCATGAGGAAGAGGAAGCCGGCAGTGAACAGTGACAATGGTTGGCGACTGTTGGGTGATGTGTAAATATATCTGTCATAATTTGTGCAAGAATTTGTGCACTGTGTATGTGTGTGTGTGTGTGTGTGCGTGTGTGTGCGTGTGTGGTGTGTGTGTGTGTGTGTGTGTGTGTGTGTGTGTGTGTGTGTGTGTGTGTGTGTGTGTGTATGTATGTGTGTGTGTGTGTGTTGCTAGAAGTGTGTATTTTTCTGCTTTGTACTCACATTAGTAATCCTGCACTATCACTGCACTATATTTTCACTTCATACATATCACACAGAATAATAATCTCGCTTCCTGTGGTATTGCAACATTTTACGCTATACCATCACACCTTTGGCCACTAGTACTTGTCACATATATATAAAGCCCTGTTTTGTCTACAGTAGACTTATTCCTGATGATGGGCCTTGCCCGAAAATTTGATCTAATGTATATCAATTGCAGTGTAGCCTAGAGACCGTTAGAGAGAGTGTGTACAAGGTGTGTGTACAGGATGAATGGATTCAAGTATTGGCTACAGTGGAGTCTCCAAACCTCGATATATTCTTCTGTATGATAAAATTGCTTGTAAGAATAAATGTGCACATGAAATCCATGTTATGATTATGAAAACATGAGAGTTCATTCTTGTAGGCAGTATATTCTTTTACACGACCACGCTATAACCGATACGCACTCTACTCTTGATAAGACCCATATGGTTCAGATGGTCTCTACATGGCGAGACCGGGGCTCTACCAACCGTGGTACAAGGATGGTTGTAGAAAGGTCACTGTTTCCGAACACGGTGTCCTCCACCTTGTTTCATGCTGTCAAACAGGGAGTCGTAAAATACCGGTATTTTACGACTCCCTGCTGTCAAACCAACAACATGTGTGAACTTTTTTCTTTCTTTCTTTTTTACGAGAAACCACGAACCCCAAGAACAGAATACTGCATGATAGAGCTAGAGGTGGCTGCAGGCGCAACTAATGTGGTGAAACTGGAGCATCTCCGCCGACCTGAGGTCTCGGTTTCAGCGACACTTCAGTGCACCAAAAAGTGGGCACGGGAGGGGGGGAGTACATTTGTATAGAGGGTGAAAAATGGAAAGATGATACATGTGAAAGAGTTAAAGGGGAAGTTAAGGCAAAAATTAAAATTTCACCAGTTGTAGTCTTCGGGGTGCTGAGTCGAATGGTCTTGGTCCGAGAAAGCTGAGACGCTTCCTTCCTACTTGAATCCCAATCGAACTCGCGCACTTCCACCGAAACTGGGTGACTGCGCCCTACTAGATGGGGATTTGTATGCAAAATGTCACTAAAAGCGCCATTTCGTTCTTATAAAAGCACGGATGACCGCGATTGGCCCATATGTTGTAGTCTTTTGGACGCTGAGTCGACTGGTTTTGGTCCGAAAAGGCTGCGATGCAGCGTTCCTCCTTTATTCCCAATCGAACATGGTTGAAGAAGCGGTCACGTGCTCCTGGGTGCCCAAATCACTTGGTCACCACGCCAGCAGGCGACAACTTTCACACCAAGGTTCAACTCGAGTTCAACTCGGGTGACAGGACTGCACCCAAAAAAGGTCAAACAGGCTAGTAAGTTGTACCCTGCAGGCACGGTGACCAGGTGACTGGTGTACGCAGGAGCACGTGACCGCTTGTTCAACCATGTTCGATTGGGAATAAAGGAGGAACGCTGCATCGCAGCCTTTTCGGACCAAAACCAATCGACTCAGCGTCCAAAAGACTACACCATATGGGCCAATCGCGGTCATCCGTGCTTTTATAAGAACAAAATGGCGCTTTTAGTGACATTTTGCATACAAATCCCCATCTCGTAGGGCGCAGTCACCCAGTTTCGGTGGAAGTGCGCGAGTTCGATTGGGATTCAAGTAGGAAGGGAGCGTCACAGCTTCCTCGGACCAAGACCATTCGACTCAGCACCCCGAAGACTACAACTGGTGAAATTTTAATTTTTGCCTTAACTTCCCCTTTAAACAGCAGTGAGCATGCTGTCTGAAACAATCCACTGAGAAGGTTGATTTGCAACGTCAAGTCTCCGGACGAAGCCGGACGGGTTCAGATGCACGATTTTCGGAACTGGACCTAGCCAGCTTCATGCATGACACCATTGTCGACCGGCAATTATGCTTGTAATGCCAATTTTGCATGCGAAATGGTGTTATAATGCCAGCATTACGCCACCTGGAAAAAAGGGACTATTGCTAGCCATAATGCTAGCATTACCCGCCCATGCCTACTCGCTATTGCCTATTGTTTCTAGTACATGTGTACTGGAGCACTTTGTCAAGAAACAGCTGACGCCTTTCCTAGATGATCGCTCCGTGTTACCTTCCAGCCATTTGCATACCGAAGAAATCACTCTACAGAAGATGCTCTTATCCTTGCCTCCAACCGCTGGAAATTGGCCAAATCCGAACGAAAACACACCGGGTGGTAATGGTAGATCTATCAAAGGCATTTTGATAGAGTTCAGCATGCCAGGTAGTGCAAGTGCTGTTTGACCTTGGCATTTTTGACACACCACTGGAATGGTTCCAAGGTCGGCAGAGCATCCCAGACCACGCCACCACTCCCCTTATTCATGGCTCACACATGACGGGTTTACGTGGCTCTAGTAAAAAAAATCTCTCGGAGCGGCAGCAGTATGTATGGGTGAAACACTCAGTTTCGCAATATGTTGGATGCTCCCGGGGAGTGCCTCAAGGCAGCGTTCTGGGCCCTCTCGCGCGGCTTTTTGTGCTGTATACCAGTGATAATATTGTCGGTTCTGCCAGGTAGTGTATGCTACCAGGAATTCGCTGACGATGTGGATCTGGACTACTCCGATTATCAGCCTGATTTAGTATGCTCTATTCTATCTAACGCTGTAACACGACTCGCTGAGTACTTGGACAGCATTGCCATTGGTCTGCATATTTAATGCCAGTAAAACCCAAGTCACGTTCGTGAGACCCCGCGGGTGTCTGGATGGACCATCACAAGTGACGTCTGGAAACACAGTGCTTGATGTTACTCCTGTCACGAAGTATAGTGTAGCCCTGAGGGCGACTCACTTATTAAAATTCATGTTCTTCCCTTCCTCTCTCTCTCTCTCTCTCTCTCTCTCTCTCTCATTCCCTCTGTCGTCCACATGATTGTATCAATTCAAGGAGGCGAAACCGCCTGTTTATGGTGCGACGTTAAAATAAACTTCTACAACAACAAGTACCTCGGTGTCATGCTAGTAGTAGTAGTAGTAGTATTAGTAGTATGCCCAGTCACGCTATACAACTCGATGCGGGTATCTACAACTACAGTAACTACTTACTTGGAAGCAGGGAGTCGTAAAATACCATAATTTACGACTCCCTGCTTGGAACCTTCCAAGGACATGTACATGTAATTAGTTCAAGGGGAAGGTTGAAGTGCGCACTAGGGTCCAGCGGATAATGCCGGCATTATAATATTCGGCATTATGAGACTATCCCAGCATCTCAGAGCATTATGGAGCATTAGAAAGGAACAAGATGGGCATTATTGTGAGGTTTGAGCGGCATTACGAGTTTCATAGTGGATAATTTCGGGAAATCTCAGGTTTTTGGCAACAATCGGCTAAAGCCATGAGGTGCAACGCCATGTATAGGGCTTGAAAGTGATGATGTCAAAAACGGCCAGGGAGTAGTAAGTTGACATCAGATTTCTATTTTGGATCCACTAAGGTGTGACTTTGCTATTGCCTCAGTATGTGGGTGCATAGCAACCCACTCATGTCGTATGCAGGGGTGCCTTTTACTTCGCCACCAGTTGTAACCCCGCCCCCAGTAGCCAAATCAGTCAGTTTCACTGGCTACATCACCTTGCTGTGAGTAAGACGGCTTGAAATGTGCTTGGATCCATACAAAAACTGGATCCAAGTGGATCCAGTTTTTGAATTTTTGAAATTGTTGCTATGCTGTGACGTAGCACTTTCAAGCCCTAATGTGCCGGCACATGACTTTGTAGACATGTAACACCTTTAGCAGTAAGGGCCGTAAGGCTACATAATCATTTTACCTGACTGCATACATGTAATGCTACATAAAGTCTTTATGCTGCCAGCGCTGCTAACAGCGCTGTTTATGCTTCCAGCGCTGTTAAACAATAAACAGGCCCCTCCAAGCAATGACGTGTAGTCAGGTACATGTAAATGTATAGGTGATGTAGCATGCCCAACGTTGCAACTGAGGCTGTTACACAAAATCCGTAACGATGATTTACGAGTCCTTTTTTAGAAATCCTGGAGAGCGATGGATGAGACTAGACGTACATTGTACGCGAAGGGAATATCAAACAGACGAAGAGGAGGTTTCCTGTTATGCCATAGGCTCTGGCTATAGCATCTCTA